AAATGTTCTAATATTATAATAATTAAATTACAGTTTGTTTTTGTATCAGGAAGATTTACATCTCATAATTTGGTTTCACTTAATCGGTCTTATTTTTGATCTCCAGTGTGACAATTATCCTACCACCCTTCAAGAATATTTGTAAATTCACAGGTAATCATTTTAGTTATTGAAGGAGCCTTTTTTTTTATAATTTTGTCTAGTTGCATATATCATCATTCTATGTACAGTCTCTTGGATTTGAGTCTTTTTTCTTACCATCTATATTTCATTCATTGACTTGAGTGGCATCTTATACAAGTTAATATATTTCATTATTTTCTTAAAATAAAATATCTTGAGGTTTATATCTTGTATAATAATGTTTATCTAGTAACCTCTTTATATATTTTATTTAATTTATTTTTAAATGATTTAATTCTATATCCTTAAGTTGATTGTAAAGATTATCAATTTCTCTATCAGATAATTCATTAATTGATTTTTTTTTAAGATATTTGTTCAAATTTAGAATCAATTACTTCTACTTTAGCAAAGTTATTACTTTTTAATTTTGAGATTAAATTCTAAAAATCTTGCATATTTGATCCTAAATTAAAATTAAATTTTGGATGAAGCTGAATAGCCGAATATTTTTTTATAGTAACTAAAGATGATTTATTGAAATTTTCAGTTTAATATTTGAAAATTTTCTATTTTATATTTTTTTCTGAGATAAATATTTAGACATAATTTGTAAATTAGTATTTGTATGATTAAACTATTTTATATCAATGTTAAATTCTTTTATAGTTGTTTTTCAATGCTAAGTTTAACAAATGCTGAAATTTCTAAATTTTTTAATTTATTATTAGTAATATTTGTGATAGTTTGTGGGTAAATTGATTCTATAGTTTCTTCACTTTCTATTGATCATGATAAGATTAATTTTTTTTGTGTATTCTTTGTAAATCATATTACAAGCGAACTAGTAAGTTATTTTAATTTATTAAAATTTTAAAGAAGTTTTGATAGATAATTTTTTTTTTTATTGATGTGGTAATTTTTTTGTACCATTTTCTAAATTGAAATTATTTTGGTTTGTGGACAGCGTTAATTATGATTTTTCTACTTTTTTTTTACTATTTTGTAATTCATCGAAAAGTAAAACTCATTAACGATGCAGTGTGAAAATAATTCTCATAGGATGTAAAATTTGATTATTGTTTATTTAAATAATATTTATTGTTTTAATTATAGGCTCTTCTTTTAAAGAATTTGATTTTTTATTGATCAAAATAGTTGCGATATTGATATTATAAGAAGAGTAATTAATTTTTTAGCATTGAATCTAACATCAACTTCTCCGTTTGATGTTTGTATTATTTGTTTTATATCTTGATTAACTATAGGTTTTTGGGGAATAACTGTAGTTAATGCCCATTGTTTACGGAATGTAATTTTATTTCAGCTTATTGTTTCATTTGTAGCAATATTTGATGATAAATAAATTTGTTTCAATTGTTTTAATTTTTTTTCTTAATCTTGGTTATAAAATATTTATTATCTTAAAATTTATTATATAGATTAATGCTATGGTTTTTTATCCTAAAAAGAAATTATAACCATGTAATTATAATTGAAGCTTAGTTGCTTCAAATAAGTTGATATCAGTTAAAGATTGATTGCAATTATGTAAAGTGTTGAAATAGACTGGTCCATGACAAACTAGTTTCAATCAGTTTTATTAGTGATTGTGCACATTTTAGATATTTGTGGTCTCTCAGACAAACAAGTATCGAAACATTTAGTCGCTTTAAAGCAAGTGGTTTAAATGCGTTTTGAATTATTCTTACAAATGTTTTGTAAGTCATCCAAATTTAATTAATGAATTTTTTTAGTTTTTGGGTTTTGTAAATCATCTGAAATTAATAAATGATTTTCTTAGTTTTCTTCAATTGAGATGGGGTGCTCAACCATTTTGATTGAATAATTTTCTTTGAAATCAAAGGTATCACTTTTATAAATAAAAAAAAATTTCAACCTTTTTGATTGCCCAATTATTTAAATCATCCTCATTAAAAGGTTATTAAGTTATTTTTACATTTTTAATATTTTGAATTCTCATTGAGAATGTTCTATTCAAAACATAATTAAAATTTTTATTAGAATTATAATTAAAACTTGACACTATAAAAGTATGAAGAATAAGGGACTCTTACAGATTGCATATTAATTTGAGTAAACATAGTTATTGTTTTACTTTGTGTAATAAACAATTACATAGGTTATACTTGGCATTGTTATACCAGACAAATAAGATTTATTTCACCTTCATTAGAATTAATAGTCATGCGTCGTCAGGTTTTCAATCAATATATAGACTAGCAACAACTTCAAGGAATTTAAGATTTTGCAATTGCATATTAGGTTTTATTATCTTTCTCTTGCATTAAAACGGGATTTATATTCTTACAATCGCACGTATCTCAAAATTTGTAAGAAGAATGAAGATTATTGCTCACCGCATAGACATGCAACATGATGTTTATTTTTTCATATTATCTAGCAAAGATTTCTAAGATTCACCAAAGGATATAATTTGAATTCGGTATTAGCTGGAAACAACATAACCAAGTTTACTTTGAGTAATATAATATTTATAGGTAAGAGTTCCTTATATATCTTTAACCTAATATAACTCTAATATCATACAAGCCCATGTAATATAAAACAAAAATAGACTTTTATAATAAAAAATAAATTTTTATTAATATAGAAAAGGTTTACATGATGAAAGATTTCTATAAACTCTAATAGAATCAAATTAAGATTTTCAGAGTTATTCAAAAAATTTGCACACCAATAAAAAAAATATAAATGCCTTGTATATGATAGATGATAGACTCGAAATTAAATTAAACACAACTTAAAGTGGATGCTAACATGATAATGCATCCGATAAAGTAAATAAATAGTATAATAATTGAGGTCTACTTTAATTAGTGTAGCATAAAAAAAAATTTTAATTGTAGGTGGTTCCTACCATTAATTGATGCTTCTGAATCGGTAATTTCCACCATCTCCTTTTGTATGTTGTTAGAATTCTCTCTTATCTTCAAAGAGTCTCAGTATTTCTTGGCTTCAAGATCTGGTCTTGCGGGCTATTAACAATTATATGGGCTAGTCATTCATTGTTCCAGTCTTCGGAATAGCATATTGATTCATCATTACTATTCTTTTAGACATTGGAATCTGAAACATTTTTTGAAACAGTCGATTGTATATTTTTATAATTTGCTTTTTAATTTAATCAGGAGTTTCATGGGAGTATTTTTTTTAAATCTCTCAAATATTTCTGAGAAATAACTTTCTACAAAATTAATAGGAGGGATATAAGTTACCTCATATGTTTGCAAAGTAGTATTAATTTGCCTCAATTTTCTTTCTCGTTTATTTGATGCTATCATTTTAATAAAAAATATATTTAAGATAAAGTAAATTAAATTGATTAGTTACGAGAACTACATTTCATGTCGATATCCAACGTATTTTACAATCTATGCAAAGGTGGGTTAAACATTGCCCTTTTGCTAAATTTTCATTTAGAGTAAATTTGTTTTTTTGGTAAATTTTCAACAATGCACCAAAATAATTCCAACGTCGATAGAACTAGGCTGTAATATATTTTAGTAAAATTTTTTTATTAATGATGAACATTCATGAATGTTTTATTTTAGCATTGACCATAAAGAAAACTTTAATTATTGCTTGGACATAATTTCAGTAATTGATAGAATTTCTATGTTAGAGATTCAAATATAGAGTTATCGTTCTATCCTATTGAGAGTTTAATCCCCAATTTTTGCGATGAATAATATTATTTATATTTGCTATAGAAAATATTTTATTTTGTATTATTATAACTATGGTGTATTTCTATACACTTTAGTTGGACTTGAATTTTCTCATAAACCTTTCGGGTCTTATGAGATTCATTAGGGATTTGTGTTTTTTCTAAATTTATTTGATATTGGTAACCTTAATTTTCAGAGCATTTTATTTATTTTATTTTTTTTTCTGTAAAATAAGTAAATTTGTTGAGAGTTGTAATTCAAACTTCCTCGAGGTTTTTGAGGATCTGATTTGACACTGATGATTGCTTGGATTCTTATTTTGGGAGCAACACCATTAAGGTATTCTCTGAGGTCAATTTGACCTTCAGGAGAATAATTACCTCCTTTTCCTCTACAGCCTAAGGTAGTGCTCACCCAACTCCACGTACCCATTTCCCTCCCTTCCCCCACCGAATCCCCATAAAAATATGCGAGTTAGAAAATCTGGTCAAGAATTTACCAGAAATAAAGTAAATATCCAAAAATAATTGTGTTTGCCAATTAGCAAACATTTGTTTAAGTGTTTGAAATGGTTAATTTAGGTTTATTAAATATTTGCAATTTGGTCCAATTTTTACCATTTGCTCATGCTCTGAATGGACAGTCTGAATGGGGAAACAGATTTTCTCTGCTTTTAAAAACTTCAACAGGGTGGTAAGCTTAAGTAGCTGATTTTATGCTTACACGAACAAATTTTAACATGTTATAGGGACAATTTCCGGTCCTGATGCAAGATTGTCCTGAGCAAAGTACTTTTTTTGAGAGATTTCGATGATTCAAATATTTATAATGAAGGATGAAAAATGCTTTGATATTATTGGTAGATAAAACAACTTAGAGAAGTAGAAAGGAAAAATAGGTAGGTCAGAGGAAACGCAGATAATTTTTTTTGCAAAATGATCATGTTGTAGGACTAATTAATACCTCATGCAATACAATAGAAATATATAGAGAATGAAAATTTATAAAGCTGATCTTAAATAGTTTGGATAAGATTATTGATGATGATAATATAAATGCCAAGTAAAATCATGCGATGGATTCTTTAATTGCTGAATAGCATTAGTGATGAGATTGCAATGGCATTTTCTAACTTTATTACTGATCTTTCTATCTCTGCTGCAGGGCTTTGCTAACCTTAGTGATAGTTTTGTTGCTGTATATCATCATTGCTGCTTGTTGCGGAGGCATCACTCTTCCGTCTTGCAGATCTTAGAAACCATTTAGAACTTTATTCTCTTCCAGCCATGCCTGCCTTTGCCATCTTCCATTACTGCTGGCATCAATGATCATCGCAAAAATGGTGCTGAATCTGTACGTCTCAGATTTCAAGATTTTAGGGCTTTCTTGTATAGTTCCTTTCATTTGTTCCTTCATTAGATTTCTCCTGCTTGTGAGATTGTTCATATAATAATGGTGTTAACGAACTAATGATTGCTATATATATATATATATATTTTATATTTATTGGTGTAAATGAGAAGAAGTGTCTTTTTTCTATTCCTTTTCTAGCAAGAAGCCCTTCTGTTGAAGCAAATGTACTGTTGCCTGGTGTTAGAAATCCTGAGCATACCGTTAATAACTGATCATGCTACCGTCCCCATCAATGGTTGGCAGGGCGCACCAGAGGGTGATATGAGCAAGAGTACGTAGATGTCAGAGTATTTTATGTTTCAAACTAGTGATTTTCAATTTTAATTAGGGCAATTTAGCCTTTCTGTTCATTTTTTGCCCTATTACTTAGACATGAATCTTTTCTGCAAAAATAAAAAATATAAATATAAAAAAAAAATCTACCAAAAGCCGAAATTCCTTTGGCTCGCCAGATGGCTGAGTTCAACCAGTCTGATTTTATGATGTTTTTTATATTTTTGATTGCTCCTGCCTACGTATGACTTGTGACCTCTAATTTATAGATGAAGATCAAGATTGGTGGAACAGTGAGTAGCTATATAAAGAAATAATAAACTACATGTTTATTGAACCGTGTGTGGCTTATTTTGTGGCGGAGAAGCTTTCCTAATAATTGAGAATTTTGTTCGAGTTTCTAGTTGATATTAAGTACTCTTTGATGATTCATCTAGATATTTCGAAGAGTAACCTAGGCGAAGTAGGTGCTCTCGGTGGTGGGATATGTGTCAAATATTGAAGGTCGAATTAAGGTTGGGTGAGTAGGAGATTTAATTTTTGGTAATTTCATTAGAGCAAGTACAATTTTATCTTGAGCAACTTATTGGGGTGTGACTTTGGGCAATTTGAGGCTTATACACATTCAAATTTGGCAAATGTTGAGTTAGCTTTTAGTTTGCACCTTATTTAGTTCAACAAAAATTTGATGCTATTGGAAAGCATTATTAGGCGTGCTCTATTGGCAAATGAAGCGGCAAATGAAGCGAAGGCCGTCAGAAAGCTATCAATGCTAAACAAACTAATGAAAGTAGTGAAAAGATTCAACTTCAGAAGTAGCAGATGAGGAGCAAACTTGTGCTCATATTGAGAGAGGATTGAAGGTAACATCATTTGATGAGGAATAGTATATGATGATCTGGATGATGAGAATCTAAACACTCTTCGGACTTCGAATCACTTCAGATGGCAATGGCTACCCTGTAACCTGATGTTGAAGCTGAGATGGTGAAGACAAAAAGTTAGGAATTTGAGTCTAACATGAATTAGTTTTGTAATCACTTGGTCAAGTTGCCTAATGAATTTTCTTGGGAAATTCGCCTGCAACTTGATAAGGTTAAGTTGGAAGCATATTGATACGAAAATTCTCAAAGACTTCTTGGATGAAGCAGTTCTCACTAAGTGTCGAGTTTGATTTGGGGAATATCCTTGAAATTTGACAAGTTTCCAGCTCTTACTCTAGATGGAGAGTTGTATTTTTAAGATGCAAAATTTCAAGGAGTCTTTGACTCCCTTTTTTTTCGCATACTTTTGAAATCCCCAACCTTCATTGATTTATCCTGAAATAAAAATGCTGGATTCATTCACGAGCATTGTTTCCTTGGCCGTATTTCGACCCAGACTTTTTCGAGATGCCCTTAATAACCAATGAATATGGCAAACTCTCTTCTTTTCTTTGAGTAACAAGTAAAAATGGAGTCTAGATATTTTTAAATGCATGTTTACCTGAAAGCTTTAGTGAAAGTACTGTTTCATTTTATTTTCTTTTGTTTTAAGGCAAGTATGCAAAGAAGCGACCCGGTAACACCGGATTGACATCACTTATTTGCAACACAGTGGTTAAGAGCGTGGTCTCCCATCATGAGGTAATGGGTTTGAATTGTGCATATTACCTTTTGAGCTCACCTTTCCCGAAATCAAGAACACTGGATTAACCAAGTTTATGGAGATGCGAGACCAATCAATACTTGTCTCTGCTATGTGATTGAGTAGATAATCATAAAAATATTAGAACTTGACCATGAGGCAACAAGTGTAATTTATATTTAAATATTGAGTTTAAAAGCCTAAATTAGCTCTTAAATTATAAACGGCCAATTTAATTGTAGAGTACTGCATAGCTCCGATTTAATCCCCCAATTTTTCTCCTTTTTAAAATATTTTTGTAATAAATTATTGTCAATTATATAATGGATGCTAAATTATAATCTTGTCTAAGAATTATTGTCTTTCTCCTTTTTCATATAAGAATGTTTATGTAATAAATTACTTTGGCATTTAATTAAAGAGGGATAAATCATAAATCTCTCTTCTAGGGAAGGTATATTCATCTTTAATGGTAAATTTATGTACTTTTTAGTTGCATTTGAATTTAAGTCTCCCATTTTATTTTAATTTTTTATTAAAGGGTCCCTATTTGTAACATGATCACTACATTAAATGCACAATAATAAATATAAAACATTGTGTTCATTGAGTATGAAACTAGCTCCAAAATATTGTTACATAAATAATGATTGTTTATAGTATCCATTAAAATATATAAATTGAAAGCTTATAAAATTAAAAATAGAAAAAAAAAATACATTACTTAATAGCTTATGATGGTCACCTAGCTTCATAAAGTGGACATTTTTTCATTAGGAAATATAAACTCCTTAACTTTGGTGGGTGGTTCTTGATAGGTTTACTATATTTTGGTGGCAAAAGATGTGAACTACTATGTCCAAGCTATAAACTATATATTAGGACTATTGTCGGACTTCAATATGCTCTCCCCTTTTTCGTACATTCTCTTCGTCAACAATGTTATAATATTCTCAAACATAGTTACAATTTAACACTCTTGTTTTAATGAGCTCTTATTTCAATAATGTTATAGTTGAAACATTCGCTTATGTTATTAACATGTCATGTTTAGCGATGCAATTAAAATGTAACTATGATAACTATTTTGGTTGTTTCAATAACTTATGAGCATTGACATCCAATTTAGCTATTTTTTTCATATTCTGCATGAATTTGTTAATTATGGTACTTCCATTGTTGCCCACAAATTATTCCTTAAATTAACTTTCTTAAATTAAACCAAATTAAAATTTTAGTGCAGATATCGTACTATTTATTTTTAACATCAGGCAGACCATTCTCAAAAGTAAACATCAATTCTTTTAATTTGTATAAGATAAATGTTAATGTTTGTCGCTATTTTTTTTTTTTTTCTTTCACTTCAAACAATATCACAAATATCACATGCTAATGGATATATATATTATCTATCTATCTACTTAACCACGGTTAATAGTTGTCCCCCTTGTGGCTCCTTTACAAAATATCCATCAACCTCAACTAGTGATTGTAGCCTATGAGTAGGCCTTTTTTGCATGATTAAAAGTAAACCTAAATCTTGAAAAATGTTTTTTCAACTCATTAAATCAAAGCCCCATGTTTTTTAAATCGATATAATTCCCTAATTTTCTTCCCTCCTCTATTTTTTATACCTATGATTCAACAGAATGAATGTCATTGCTTTCAAATAACTCATCATCTTCACGAACATCATAATCAATTTTTATAATTTTTTTCACAATCGTTCATCACATTATGTTTGTTGTCGCCGCTCTTGTCATCATCATAAAAAATTATTCCTCTCATCTGCCTCTACATCATTACTCTTGTCATTGATATTTTTCAGTCCAAAACAGTCATTTCAGTGAAATCATCAAGAGCTATGAGAATTTTCTATCATTGAGCCATTCAGACAAAGGTCCTGATATTTTTTAATGATCTCATCACATTTCTCATATGCTATCTTGGTAAATCAATACATACAATAATTCAATATAATCGGAAAAAACCAACAACATAATATGAAGAAAAAAAAAACTCGACAAATAAATTTAACTTCCTCAGGCTTCCATATTAATAATGGATGACATTTTTACCCTTTGAATGGTCTTTAGTGATATCCCTTATATTAAATAGTTCCCTTAAACCCATGGCCTTCATTAATCAAATCAAAGAAAAAAAAAATGAAGCGCCTCCTACTTGTGCTCGACATGATGAACCATTATGGTTCTCACTTTCTCTGTTAGTTATTTTTTATTAGCTAGCCACACTTTACTTCTTTCCTCAGTCAACCTAATGGGGCTGGCAGGCTATCCTTGATGGTACTCACGCATGTCTAGTGTTCAATGGGTACTCACATCAATGCTTGAATGTCTGCTCGCTTGCACACTGTGTCCTGTTCCGTAACGGCTACACATTGAGTCAACCACACCTACACCCGCAATTGGTCGCACAATGGGACCACATGGGGTTGACAAGTTTCACAATGGGACTCATTAATGGTTGATGTTCAATGGAGACTCATGAGAATGATTGACACGGTCGATAAGGACTCATATTGTTGATGGTCGCTCGCTTGCACATTGCATTATGTTATTATGGTGTGTTACATGACATGGTGGAGTTGGGAGTTTTGGTAAAAGGAATTTAACAAAAATGATAATTAAAAAGATTTTATTTAACCAAATTACCTTAAATGGGCTACATAAAGCAAACATTCTAGTTAAATTAAACAGTAAGTTTGATGGAGGGGACATATTGGGATTGGTTTTCAATAGTTGGGGACTAAATCGGAGTAACACTAAGCTCCCAGACTAAATTGGCTACTCACTATTATTTTTAGGTTTTTCTGGATGAATAATGTTTGGTTCATTTGTGCAGTCTCCTTTGTCTTCTGTTTTATGAGAGTAACAAGCAAAGTGCAGACTTCATACATTCAAATGCATGTTTGCCACAAAAGCTTTTACATTACATAATTATTTTCTTATAAATACATTAAGATCACATAATTAGTGCATAAAATAATAGATTGAAATTTAAATTACCTTTTTATCAAGTTGGCAAAAGGATGACCAATTAACATCAGATTGAATAAGATTATTAAGAATAAGTTGTTGCACCCTTGCCTCCATGTGGGTGTGTGCACATGGTTAGTTTATGTAGATGAAAGACTAATCAGCAGATTGTTAGTATTATATGATAGAGAAGATATGACAATTCTTAAAGTTGACCATGAGAGACCAAATGCTTTATTCTAGTATTTATTTTAAGAGTTAGCAGTTCTTTTTATTTCAGTAATGTAATGTTGTTATAATGGGTAATATAAATCTACTGTTTGACAAATATATTCCCTTTTGGTTTTTGCATATAGAATAATCTTCAGAACAGCATTCTGAATCAAACAATTGGTTTGAAGTTGTGCAAAACAACAGAACAAAACCATTAATACCCTAGTGATCTCCTCTAGGGTACATAAGTCTGTTAAAATGGCTCGTTAAGAAGCTTGTGTTTGATTCATTCATAAAGTTAACGAGCCGAAAACAAACAATTTGTTCGTGTTCGGCTCATTTTGGCTTGAAATAATTAAATTAGGTAAAGAGCCTAATAAAAGTAGTGTGAGGTGGAATACCAAAGAACAACCTAAAATCAATTAGTTCTCCATATGTAATTAGTTGGCCATCTAAAAGCAAAGTGATGGAAGAGTATTTTTTACATATAATCTTTAGAAGACCAGTCTATGTAAATTATAAATTGCTGCAAGCACATACAGAAGAAAATACTAATTATGAAGTTAATAAGAGAGAGGGAGAGAAGGATTTTCTTCAAAATAAATAATTTTCTGAATAAAAAATAGAAATCAATTTTATCAATTCAAGTAACAGTTCTCATTCCAAAATAAGATCTCTATAAACACCAATACTTCAGACCTTTTAGCTAGTTAAGTGTCTCCATACAAATCTTTTCTATAGGATTAGCCAACAGGTCAATAAGTAACTTATCAAGCCCAAAAGTATTCCCATAAGTATCATAAGTCCAAAATACATCTCAAGTTGTTACAGTTTCATAAGTATTAAACATATCTCAAGTTGTTACAACACAAAATGAGTAGCCCATCGGTAAGATTCTAAACAGATTTATTTTTTTAACTCCTGCATCCATCGAGCCATCGGCTCCATAGGTTTTGTGAGAAATGAATTGATTAGTGTTGGGGTTTTTTATAAGTTTTCATATATAGTATCAATTTCTTTGTAAAAAAAAATCTAAGAAACCATCTAAGAATTGCATTACTCACTTTAATTGCACTATCAACCATTATAAATATAAAATCACGAAGAGACTACTCAATACTATACTCTTTATTTATTTCTCATCTGTTTTGCACATCCTTTGGAAGACGATGACATCGATCATTTTGCCGCACCTAGCTCTTCTATAATATCTATCCTAGCTCATTCGATAGTTTTAGATTTGTTTATTCTTATCTCTATAAAAGTTGAGAGTTCGTCTTCATCCAAGTTAATTTGTTGAGTATCAAAAGAAAGTCTGAGAATTTGTTGACTTCGCCCATTCACGATTTGCATGACATTCTCCAGCTCTATATAATTTGTAATTGAAATAATATAAAATATGCATCTTTTGGAAATGATGCAATATGAAAAACATAATGCATATAACATATAATTTTATTAAATTTAAAATATAAATTTGCTTGCAAAAAATGATATATGATGCATATATATTCCTCGTGCCCCCTTAATCTCATTGTTCTATTATCATCACATGATACTCCAAACTTTTGCTTGAACGACTCTATATAGATCTTTGATGCCTAGTTTGATTCTTTCATTGCTTGGGCGTCACCTCAATTCCAAATTTCTCTTTCAATTTTTGGGAAGCACATTATATATAGTATTTTTAAATGATTAATGTCTTTTCATATGGGGATCGACATACATATTATTTGGATAAGCCTAGAAATCTATTTTGGATTTGTACTCCATAAAAAATTTATACTTTTAATTCTCCAAACTTATGTGAGATTGGGAGGAAGATGTTCCATTTGTCTGGGAAAAAATTATACTTATATCATGTCAAAATAAGTACACGCAGGTAGTGGATAAGTAGATAAATTTTCAGCAATTACACACACACACACACACACACACACACAGATATAGATATAGATAAAATAAAATCTTAGATAATCTAATTTTTTTTAGAAAAAAACTTTATGAATGAAATTTTAGTCTACAAGTAATTTGAAAGGACCAAAAAGTTCTATTCCATGGCGCAAGGGTTACTCCACAAGTTTCAATGCAAAATAATGGGTGAAGTAGATGATCACACTATTATTTTGAATTCATGAAGTTTGAATGAAACACCAAGTAATTAGTTTTTATGACTTAGAAGTAATCTAAGTTTACAGATAAGAAATGTTGAACATGATTATTTGCAAAGATGTTGCAGGCATTAACAATTGTGTTGCACTTTTGAAAATTATTTGCATTGTTGGGCACAATAAGATGAGTACGAAAAGGAGAAAATTTTGTATGGTTGATCATTTCATCGTATATGACATTAGATATATTATGTCATCTCAAAAGATCAAAATATTATACAAATGGATTTAGTCATAAAATAATGATTTCAATACTCGAGGTCTATACAGTCAAAGACAAGTTTTACTTTATTTCAGAGTATTTTATTGGGACAAACTCTTACAATTAATTACATCTTATAAAAGTCTGTCTCTTAGGAAAATTCTTGAATAAAATAATAGCTTATGTCTCTATAGATTTTAAAGTTTGGATTCAAGGTTGTTGTTTTAGATATTCAATTAGGATGGGATCAAGTTTGAAACATTTTTTTTTTTTTAAACTGAAGAGAACTGAGTATAAATTACTAAGGTACCAAGAGACTCGGCGATACTTCAAACTACCCTATGTTAGGGCATTATAGTTTAAAAAATGAGATTAATTTAATTTGAATCATTCATTTAATTATATATTTAGCTCTTATATCTTAATGATACAAGATCATGGAAAATGCCTAGGAGGTGAGGATTTATCACATAGTAAAGAGCAAACGAGGTGCCTTGGAGTAAAATTAACACATGAACTACTGTCTCAGTGAACTCCACAATCTAGGCCAATGAAGACATCTTGGAACTTATAGACCCCACTCTTATCTTGGAATAAAATCCAAATCAACTCTTTTAGACATACAACCTTGCCTAAAAAGGATAGCTAGAAAACCCATATACGCGTCAAAATCATGAGTTCAAACACATGCACGAGTGTATAGATAAGGCTAGTGTTACATCTAAGATGATTCATTGGGATTTAAGACTTGATTGAGCAGTCTGGGTAGATATGCATCTAACTAATACAAAATTTTATAGTTATCATATTTTGTTAATTAGATTCTAATTTGTTTTTGAAGGCTATAGGAATCTAGCTAATACATGTACTATACATGCACAAATGGTTAATTTAAAGCTAACAAAAAATTTTGACATTTTCTCAAGAATGATGGTCAGTCTCACCAGTTAGAAACCCCTTTACATGTTATGCATGAAGTATCAAAAGAATGAGAGAATGCATTATGCAATTGCAAAATGATTTTGATATTTTTAAGGTTTCTATGATATTGTATGTTGAGAAATATTATAGAGGCATTTCCAAACATAAAACCTATTCATATGTATTTACATATATCTAATATCTAAATGTTATTTTATTTTATATTCATATCACCTAAATCTTTCACATCACATCAAAAATATCATTATTTTAATTAAAACAAATGCAATATATTTTTTAATGCATTCTAAACGTTGACATATATGTTAAATTTGAAGTTTAGGTGTTAGACATGTAAACCCATAGGAATTGAGTGGTATGTATGTAAATCTTCTAATACTATGACGTCTACAAAAAATAAATTATAAAAATACTTTTAATCAAAAGTCAATAAAACAATTTTAAATGTAATTATTGTAATCTATAAGACTAAAATAATTGATTGTATAAATTGTCTCAATATAATTATTTAATCACCACTCAATATTTTTCCTAAATAAAGAGAAGGGAGACCGCGCAGCTAGCTACAAGCCATTACCTGAACGTTCTTCCCTGTCCTCCAATGGCGGACGCCAACTCCATCACCCTTGAAGACCTCCCCGACGACATCCTTCTTCAAATCCTCCGCCGTCTCGATGGCCCCTCTCTCGCCGCCACCTGCTGCTCCTCCCCCCATCTCCACCGTCTCTCCTCCCTCCCTTCCCTCTGGTTCAACCTATGCATCTCAACCTACCCCTCCCTTCTCCTCCTCCCTTCTCACCCCTTCTCACCCCGCTCCTTCTTTTCTCTCTCCTTCCCCTTCCCCTCCTTTTCCCCCACAGCTCAACCCACTCCCAATCCCGATTTCATCTTCTCCTTCATCGATCTCCACCACCGCGGAACCCTAATTCTCTCCCGCATCCTCTTAACTGATACCCGATCGCCCCTGTTTTTGTCCTCGCCCTTCCGATTAAACGCCATAGATCGCCATCTGCCGCCTGATTTGGCGTTTTCGCCGTCGGATCTGGAGCTGAGCTGGGTGGTGATGGATCGAATGGGAGATCGGGTGGTGGATTTGTCAAGCTGGAAACCAGTATCGCTTGAAATGAACTGGTTCAGCGGGGATGTAAAGGTCCGTTTCGGCATGATGGCGGGTGAAGGGAGGGCCGTGGTTGTTGCCGGAGTGATTTGCAGTGTTGTTGGGGTGAGGAGGGTGGGGTTGGTGGTGGAGGATCGTAATGGGGTTCCCATGAATGGGAGGGATAGTATGGCGGTCATTGGGGGGATGATGGATGGAGGAAGAAAAGGGTTGAGGAAGCGAGGCATACGTTTGGAAAGTGGAAAAATATTACAACCTAATTAGAGCTACCTTCACAGTCCAACACGTGGTTTTAAGGAAAAATATGTGTTTTTCTATGATCCGGCTCGATAACACAGAAAAATATTTTTCATGTGTTCTTCAATATTTTTCAAGTGTTATTGTGATGGTATTGATGTGTTATTATATTATTATAACACTCAGAACACAATAACACATAAATATCACCACAATAACATCTGAATAATGCAGAATAACACGAGAGAAATAATTTTCTTGTGTTAAAATGATTTTTTTTCTGTCACATCCATGTGTTCGCATTTCAGTGCTCTGAAAGTAGCTCTACGTATATAATTTGTAATTTATTATTTTTCTTTCTTTTTTTTAAATTCTGAGAAATCATTTTTATTTTTTGGATTAAGTTGAAGCTAAGTTCAAAAAAATTACTCATCCATGATGCTCAAAAGAGACGGTTTCAAAGGGTATATTTGAGCCGAGTTAAGATAAAATCAGTAAAAGGGTCATTAAATGCATGCACACTAGTGAAATATATTGTGCTTAATATGTGAGAAATATGCTTTGTATAATTCATTTGTATGTTTGTCTAATATTGCATCACTTGTTGGAAGTTTTGCTTTCCAAAAAGATTTAAATAATTGATAAATGTTCAAATTTTAACATGAATTACAAACATAAAAATGTTTAATATTGACATGTCATCAAAATAAATTTTCATCTTGTAGCATGAATCATGAGGCATGACATGAAACTTGATCGAATTTTTTAAGCAAGAAATATTCAGACCGATTAAAAATTATCAAGAATTCTGATTTTAGCAGACATAATCAAACTGATCGGCTCAACCAGACGAACACAATAATAGCAAAATTGGCCCAATCCGAGTCAAATCAAGCCCAAATCAAGCCGTTAAACTATTTTTTGAAACTTTTAGTGCATAATTGAAAGGTCAAGATTCTAAATCTAGCATGTTTATAATCAAATTAGGAGTCTCGACAAGACAAATACAATGAACCCAATATCGCTCAATTTTGACATCATTAAAGCACTCTATGATTATCGAACAACATTTGATTGAGAGAATCTCTCCAAATCGTTTGATTGAGTGATCTAAATTCATTTCTTATTTCAGAGAGACATCTCCCAAACTATAAATAAAATCCTATCACCTCTTGAGACGGGAGGGGACCTGGAGCCGAAAGAAGACCATAGCTCAGAGAGCTAAAGCCTAACACTATTTCAACACCGAAGATCGAGCAAATTTCTCCCGCTCTGGTAGCCACAGGCTACCATCAACCACCACCTGTTGGCCACTGTATACCACCGTTGATCGCCCTCTTTCATAGACCACCATCAGTCGCTAACCGCTCATTGCAGCGAAATCGCTTGTGGAGTCACAACATACATTTCGGAATCTCAGTATACGTTGTGGAACAATGAAGCGCCCTACAGAGCAATACGACATCAAGTAAATCGTGCAATGACGCACCCAAAAGACAATATAAGAACGTACCCTAAATACAGTGGAACGACACACTCTAAAAATGGTGTAACAATGCACCCTGAATACAATGCAATGACATACCCTGATGATGTTGTAATAACGCACCCCACATACTGTACAATTATGCCTCTTAAAGAAGATGCAACAATACACACTAAAGATGGTGACTTTCTCCAGACTTTTAAGCCTCTCTCTCTCCCTACAGCCCACCATTAAGGCCTACATGACCAACAACGGCCTACATGGTCCACAACAATAGCAACTCCTGACCCCAGCCCCTGCAGCCTACGTACATCATCACAACTCACCACTATGACCTACGTGACCAACTATGGCTTACATGACCAACTATTGCCTACATGGCTAACAACATATAACACCCGACTCCAACCATTGCCGCCTACAAATGTCATTGCAATTCACCACTAGGCCTACGTGGTTCATAGCTAGTGCAGCTCCTGCCTTTGACCTCTACTGCCTATGAATGTCATCACATCTAACCATTATGGTCTGCGTGACCAATTACAACTTTTCATGATCCACAACTCGTACAGCTCCCAACTCCGACCCCTTCGGCCTACGGACGTCATCACAACTCACTACCATGGCCTACGTGGCCAACTATGTCATATATGGTTCACAGCTTGTGCAGCTTAAGATTAAAGTGAGTAGCTCCCAAATCCAGCATCTGCAGCCTACGAAAGTAATCACAGCTGACCACTGCAGCCTATGTGAACAATTACAACTTATATGGTCCACAGCTCATGCAACTCCCAAATTTGGCATCTACAGACAAAGTGACAAACTACAACCTAAGTGGCTCATAGCTCGTGTAGTTATCGACTTTAGCCACTGCAACCTACGGACATCATTGCAATTCACCACTACAGCTTATGTGACTAACTATGGCCTACGTGGTTAACAGCTCGTACAACTCTCAACTCTGGCTTATGTGGCCAACCGATGCTCCTAAAGCAAGTCTCTATGGCCCACATGGCCAACTACAATCATGACTTTTAATTATGACCTATATGACAAGTTGGCGCAAAAACGTCTACAATATTCACGTCGGACTATTGTTCGACTATAGCCCTTGTGGTTTTCTATAACTGAAAAATACATTCATTACAGCAAAACTATGATTATATCGATGAACTATTGTTGTACATTTACAATGATCAACTTTATAACTCCATCTTTACTAAATCAGGAGAAGAATGACATGTGTAATCACCATTCAAATTGTATTATTTCAACTAGGTTAGGTCAGGTGATTCTTCCCCTTTTTTAGGGTCTAGCAGGTAAGAATTGACATGACTCCTTCTATTTACTTCTCTTTAATTGTGTGATGAGTTTCCATGTAATACTAAGACGATAATTCATTACTCTACCGTTGCAAACATTTCAAAGCACATCAGTTTGGAGTCATCTGTGGGAAACAATGTCCAGTTTGATACAATCATCAAGCCTGAGAATTCAAGCTCCTGTTTCATTTCCCAATGATATACATCAACCAAATAGCGAAGGAACCTCATTTGCACCTCATGAATATCATTTTTTGAAGCATTATTCGATGTGGCGGCAACTTTCATTGTAGTCTCGAAAAGTCATTCACGTCAATATTTCAGGCACGATTGTAGTGGGGTAGTCTTCCTGCATTATATTCAAGCACAGTCTATGTTAACTTCTTCTAGGTTAGGGGAAAACCTTCACTGTATTCTTTAATAACGTTCACGTTGATGTCCCGGGCACTAAAATGGTAGGGTAGTCATCCCACATTTCTTTAAGATATAAAGTCTTCGAGAAACACTTCTAGACTTGGGGGGGGGGGGGGCAACTTCACAAATAATGCTTTCTTAGCACCCCATCATACTGGAGTCATTCCTTAGCTGAACCAGAAAGTTGAACTCTTCAAGCTTCGATACATGAGATGTTTTATAAGCTCGTGTGAAAAATACACTCGTTGGGGATAACAATTTCAAAAATAGTAACTATTAAGTTATTCTTGAGTGTGGCTACAACTATATTTTCAAGGAAAAATATGGTCTATTGTGACATGTCTCAGTCTCGAGAAACATAAAGCATCTCTTATACCTCATTATAGGCTTAATCGATCCCAAGGAGACTTGATTCGACTTCTTTCATCACAGACTACAGTCGTCAAGTAGAAACTTTGACCTAACGCTCAGATAGGTCAAAAATTCTTAATAGATTTTCTTCGACATGTTTCATAATAAGTTATGGTCATTAAGCAAAAGCTTTAACTAACAAACTCGGGCAGATCAATCGTCCTTGGTGGATTCCACATGACTTTGTCCATTACAGGTTAACGTCATTAAGCATTTCCAGCTATACAATCTAAGACGAGTATTACATCGCTAAAGGATTCTCCTTTCGACTTTGTTTTTATAGATGATAATGTCGTCAAGCATCTCCAACTATACAACCTAGGATAGATCTTACATCTCTCGTGGATTATAACTGACTTCTTCCACTGCAGGCTATGATCATCAAGCGGACAATCTCTAGCTAGAAATAGAAAAAGTCAAACAATTTTAGCGACAACCGAGAAGTTCAGTAACATCAGCTCAGAAGTTGGGCAACAACATCTAGACATCAGCTATTTAACCACCCATGAGATGGGGCAACCCTAGCTCAGAAGGCATACAAAAGCGACCTAAAAAAAAATCAAATTTTTTACAATATCGAGCGAAAGAGAGAAATACAAACAAAAGCACTGTCACCGAGTATAAATATCACATCAGACGATTAAAAGGATACAAAGACCAATGCATACTAGTACAAAACCTACAATATGACAACATAAATAATAACATCAATCTACTACAACATCCTCCTTATCTTAAAAAAGTTTGCAATTTTATGTCCTCTTCTTCAAATGCCAACATAGTCGCTTGAAAAGACTAAAAGTCTCTGTGTTCTGATCGAGGTGTTATACTTCTTGTGCTCGCCATATGATTGATCTTTACAAGCTGAATATTGCATGTCATCAAAGAAAAGGTCGACTCATCTAAGAATGGTGTCGACATTGGCTCATCAAATTTTTGATACTTATGATGATTTCAGGTGGACAAAATTCTCTGGTGTCACACCCAACTCGATGCAACCCATCATAATGAGATGAGTTGCCTCATTTTAAGGTCATAATAGATAGATTATTACCCAGATCTATTTGGAAGAAATTTTATTTATTTTTTTTCAATTTTCATAAACGTAGGGCCATTAATATCATCAAATATTATAAAAATAAAAATATCCAAATTTCATCAGATCATATCAATACAACAAAAGGAAACATATACAACAATCATAATTTAATTTATATCATCAAAATATAAACGTTATCATGACTATCAAAAATATAGATTTAAGGTACTAAGATACCTAATATCAGACTCTCACCAGCAACCCAAAAGCATCTACTCAAGTTGAGTCTTACCCTTCCCTGAAACAACACTTGCGAGTAAAGCAAGAGTGAACAACCTCAGTTCAGTAAGCTATTCAAAATCTGTTGCAGTTTTCAATAGTAAAAAAAAAGATATGTATTAAAAGAAAATAAATCAAACATTGTGAAATATTATGTATATCATCTATTACAACGTCAATATAAGAAATTATAACTAAAATTGTAAAAATAACATGATATCATAAGTGTAAAAAAAGAACAACAACAACAAAGCCTTAATCCCACTACGTGGGGTCGGCTACATGAATCCTTTTTCTCCATTGCGTCATATTTAGTGTCATATTTTCATTTAGTTCTAGTAAATTAAGATCATTTTTAATACAATAAGCCCAAGTCTTCCTAGGTCTACCTCTGCCTTTCTTAACACAAGTCGAATTTAAAGCATCTACTCTCCTAATCGGATCATCTAATGGTCGACGTTTAATATGACCAAACCATCTAAGGCGAATTTCTCTAATTTTGTCTGTCACAGGAGCTACACCAACCCTATCACGAATATATTCATTCCGCATTTTGTCTCTAAGTGTAAAGCCACTCATCCACCTAATCATTCTCATCTCGGCAACACTTAACTTATTATTATGCTTCTCTTTTAAAGGCCAACATTCAGCGCCATAGAGCATTGCAGGTCTCACCACCATCTTATAAAATTTTCCTTTCAGTCTTAGCGGTACTTTTCTATCACACAAAAGGCCCGTAGAAAAAAAAAAATTATATTTTTTCAATTACTATATT